ACACTCGAAAGGAATATGCGGATATTACTTATTTACAAGGGGGTTTTGGGCATAAGTTTCCAACCAAACATCTTTATTAATTTCTAGGTTTATGAGCTATATCTCTTTCACCAATAAGCCCATCCCGTTAATATTTATTATAAGTAAAGGAAACATTGATGTATATACCAATATTACCCCCAACCATTTATATCAAATTCTTAATTGTAACCCTAATTTAATCAATTTTGTCCACAAAAATCCAATTTTGACTTTTTTTTTTCAAAAACTCTTTTTTTGCCGCCGGATTCCGGTGTTGACTTTTTTTTTTCTTTTTTTCGAATTGTTTCGCCGGTTTCGGGCGTTGATTTTTTTTAGTGTTTCTTTTTTTTTTACGTCCGCCGCTATGTTGACCGTAATTGTGCTGTCACCGACTATAAAGTAACGTAATTATACTGTCAATGACAGTTAATTAACGTAATTGTACTGTCGTTGACAATTCATTTATGTAATTGTTCTGTCGTTGATAGTAAATTAACGTAATATTATTATTTTTTTATTTTTTATTTTTTTTTTATTTTGTTTGATTTGTTGACAAGTCAACGTAATTAATTATATTACTGTCGTTGACAGTAAAATAACTGTAAACACGATAATATTACTGTCAACAACATCAATATTATTATTTTTTTGGGTTTTTTGTTTTGTTTGAGTTATTCACGGAGTAACGTAATAATATTATTGTCTATTATTGTAATATTAATAAACACAATAATATTATTGTGGTTGACGGTAATATTACTGTTGTTATAGTAATATTGCTCTCAACCACATCAATATTATTATTTTGTTTGGATTTTTTTGTTTGTTTGAGTTATTCAGGGAGCAACGTAATTATATTATTGTATATTATTGTAATATTACTGTGGTTGACGATAATATTACTGTTGTTATAATAATATTACTCTATATTATTGTAACATTACTGTGGTTGACGGTAATATTACTGTTGTTATAATAATATTACTGTCACTCACAGTAATATTAATTATTTTGGTTTTTTATTATCATGTTTACATTTGTTAAACGGTCAACATAGTAATATTACTCCATTACATAATAATAATGAGTTTTGTTGTGTTAATATTACTGTGCTAGAGATTAATATAGCAATATTACTGTGTTAAACTGTAGTTTAGTTAATTTTACTGTGTTTGACAGTAATATAGTTAATATTACTGTCAATCACAACAATATTGTTGTTTAAACGAAAAAAAAATATGTTACAGAAAGAAAAAAAATTAAAATAAAAATAAATAATTCGAAAAATTCAACGCCGGAAACCGGCGGCAAAAAAAAACATTTTGGGTCAAAATTGAATAATTCGTGAAATTTGGGGTCAAATTGATGTTAAATTAAGTTAATGATGAAATTGTAGCATATTAAGGTATAATGGCCTATTTTAGTCTTTAACAAAAATCTGGACCATGTGTGGACTTATTGGTAAAAGAGTTTTTTGTTTGAATCTCTTTATGAATAAGTATTCATTGATGAGCTTATTTGTAATGACCCCTATTTACAAACAACACGTTGAAAAGGTTGAGAACAAAGAAATTAATTAAGATAATAATTTGCACCATGTAAAACATTATAATACACTTATTAACTATTGAAAATTTTCAGTTTCGAATATGTTTGTGAATGATTTGTTGTATTCAGAGAGTGTAACATGCATGCCAATATTCTGCGTTTGAAAATAGGAAATAATAATTAGAAGAAAAAAAATCGTCTGTTTGGTTTGTAGTGAATTATGGTTCCATGCTAGCTATGTGTTATCCGATTTGCTATGAAAAATAGAATATAGGCCAAAAATTTCATTGCAAAATCATTAAAGTGAAATAACTTGAAAATTTTGAATTTGTTCACGAAATATAATTTAATTTCGAAAAAAAATAGTATCTATTTTAACAAAAATACCATTAGTGTTTCAGGTCGTTGCCTAACATATATAAAAATTGCATATAGACCAATCAAAATTTAAGACACAAATTACTAATTTTTCGACATCAATATTCCAATAATAATATTTGTTTTTATTTTTCGATTTAATATTCACCCTTTGCAATATACACGTGTTGATTCAATTTTTCAAAAAAAAAATAAAAAATTAGTGCGAGTATCACATTCTATTTTTCCATTTTTTTTATAAGTAACCAACCAGACCGGTGTCCGGTCCAACCGGGTCTAGTTGAGAGCATCAAATTCAATTCCAAATTTATTTGCCCTCTTTGTTCAGTCGCAGTTCTCCTTCTCCGGCAACTGCAGAGCAGAAGCTTGATACAGGTATCTCTCCGACTAACAAATATTCTCTCTCTCTCTTGCACACACGTAAACATAGATTTCAGTTTTTTTTTATTACTTTGCTAAGATTCTTATTTTGTTTGTGATGTACTTGGGGATTGATTGATCTAGGGTTTTGTTTGGGTTTTCTGTTTCTCTTTCCACCTTTTCTGCATTCGCTGCTGTTTTTTTACTCATCTACTTTGCTTTCACAATTGACATCTCTCTGTATATATATGTATATATATGTGTGTGTGTGTGTGTGTGTGTTGCCAATTTTATCATTGGCTGCTAATTGGACTGAGCCCTGTTTGGAATCGATTTGCTGCAGCTAAATCAGCAACAGTTTCGTATGAAAAAAGCGGCTTGTGGTTCAAATTCTTTAATGCTTGTGCTTATGATAATTTCGAGTTTCTGTAGGATAATTATTTTGCTATAGGTATTTTTTGTGTTCCTGAGAAATTAGAAAATCAGGAGGTTGAAGGTAGTTTACTTCTATTATTATTTTTGACCGTTTTATACACGTTACATGATGTCTTTAGACAGTGATACTTAATCCAGCTTTGTAACGAGCCTTGTGGTTTTAACTGTCAATTTTCTGAAATCTAATACGCTTCTGTTACCCCCCGAAGTATTCTTTTTTTTTGGCATGTTAAAAAACTATTTCTAGCATTGTAAAATTCCCATTCAAATTTGAGACGATCAGGATGAAATTTTCCATTTTCAGTAGTTAATCATTACAGATTTGCAATATAATAAAGGCAGAAAAATACTTTAACCGATATGAAATTCTACACCATCTTAAATATGTAATTTGATGGGCCAGGACTTACCGTGTTTTGTTTTTGGATTTAGGTTCCGACACAGTGCTGTAACTATGGTGGAAACACTTTTTGAAGATATATTTCGAGTTGACGAGCTAGACCCCGATGGCAAAAAGTTTGATAGGGGTATGATTTCTTGAATTTTATTTACCCCCCCAAATGTAATTTCTCTTTGTTCGTGGTGTGTATCTTTGTTTCTGGCAGGAATTCTTACGGTCTTTGGATTATTGAATAATATAGATGCAGAAAATGTATGATAAGCCGGATACATGAAAGAGGACATTAAAATATAAAAAATAAAGAATAAGTTAAGATAAGAAGAAGAAAGTGGTCAAATAACATTTTAGACAAGTTTCTCGTAAAGTTGCACAAAAAATTGTGGAAAAAGCAATGAATTGTGAGTCGTGTCTGAATTCTGCTGCCTTTCTATTTACTAAAAGTCTAAAACAGTTTATATTACAGTCCAATAAGTGTAAAGAGGGCATATTCTGTATACGCGATGTAGAGCATCAATATCCAATGCTTTAATCGTTAACGAACAGGGCTTTAAACATTTTATAGCATACATGTCTGTAAACATTTATTATGCTAATTAACTTATATTAATGTTCGTTTGTTAGCGTTGTTTGGTTCATCGTACTTGATTTGCATGAATTATTGCCATATGAAAGTGATCTATGAAGATTGAACTATTGAAGAATGTGCTAATTTTTTCCGAGTAACTTTAGACCCGTTGGAAATTTTAATGGAGTTTCAGACTTTCGTTTGTTCAAGACAAATAAATGCACTTGCGGGATTGGGAGCATTACCTAAAATAACCGTGGTGCAATAACTACTAGTGATGGTAATCCCAATATTCAGGGCTGATGTATCAAATGTAATTAAATGAAGCTTTTTAGATATATAAACTTCTAAATATTCATACACGTGTCGAAATTCTTGTTGAATCACTATCCAGTGATACGTGTACTCTCATCGTTGGGTTTCTATTGTATCTCTTGCAATTTTCATGCAGTCTGAAACATTTTCTAACTTCTATTAATTCTTGGTCTTTTTTCAGTGTCTCGAATTTCTGCCAGGAGCGAGCAGTTTGACATGCTCATGTTTCTTGATATCAACACCGAGATATATCCTATGCGTACTGGAGACAAGTTCATGATGGTATTAGCATCTACGTTGAACTTGGATGGGACACCCGACAGTGGTTATTTCGCACCGGTAAAATACGATCCTATTTATCTCGAAATCTTGATATTCTGCTATTCGCAATTCAGTTTATGGTTATTTTAGGTTTCTTCGTAAATGTTTTCCCTTCTAGGCTTCTATTTCAATTTCTTTCACTCGAAGGTATCTATCACGATTGTTTCATATATACGATCAACTAGAAGTAACATTACATTATCGTACAATCTGAGCGCTCTGGGAATTTATGTGATGCTGAATGGTTGTCAACTTTTATCGGTAATTCCAATTTCAGGGTAACAAGAAATCACTTGCAGACAAGTTCGACTACGTCATGCAAGGAAAGCTGTACAGAATCTCGGAGGAATCCAGAGAGAAACAAGTCAAAGCGTACGTTTTTACACGCAATTTATATATTAATTTTTTTTTCCTAATTATATCGAGTGTCATCTTTGTTTTTGGTTGGCTACAGGGACATATTCGTATCGTTCGGTGGGCTTCTGATGCAGCTTAAGGGAGACCCGTCGATTGCAGCTAGGTTTGAGCTCGACCAGAAGCTGTTCATTCTCATAAGGAAGGTCTGAAGTGCAAATGCTGTCTGTACCTTAACAAATATATCTATTACCTTTGCTTTGCTACTTATATTCGGTGACTTTTTATTACTAAAACGACATCATCTTCATGGTCGTAACCCTAAGAACGAATCGTGTAAATTCTATCTTTGGAGAGCACAATACGATGAAAGTTGTAAGTCGTGTTCGGGGGAGTCGTGATATAAACTTTTTACCAGTTTTTCTGCCTTAAGTTTTGTCTATGTTCGTACTGCTTAGACACTACAAAGCTTTTTTCAAGAAAATAAATAAACCAAATATTAAATGCAATATTATATGGTTTGAATAAAAATACGAGTAAGCCTAAACTTGAATTTCCACATTTTTTACTTATTTAATGAATTTTAAATAACAAAAAAAATAATTTTCCCATTATCTTAAAATCAAGATTTTTCTTTGTTTTGTTTTTGATATTGTAGAATATTATTTAACCACGTTATTATTATTTTTAATCAATTATTTAATTTTAACCTAATGGATAAACAAAATAGAGATATATTCGAACAGTGTCATGACTACTGAAACGTTGCCTGCACCCGGCCGTATCTGATTATACCCTGTAATCCCATTCAAAATTCGACGCTTCAAATCCCGCCTAATTTCTCACTAATAATTTTTCTCAATAAAAAGCACACACACTCTCATTCAGACACGCACGCTCACATAATCTCTCACTCTTTCTCTCTCTCTCACACACACACACACGCACTGCCTCTCTCCGAAACCCTTCCCCGAACGAGTGCAATTTCGGACAATGGCGCAAGTTAGCCCTCAGCTCCCCGTCGACGCCGACGGCGTCTGTATGGTGTGCAAGGTCAATCCGCCGGAGGAGGCGACCCTCACCTGCGTATCGTGCGCCACACCGTGGCACGTCGGCTGCCTCGCTGTCATCCCCGATTCCATGGCTTCCGCCTTGAAATTCGAGTGCCCCGACTGCTCCGGCGACGGGATCGACGGAGGCGCGGCGCCGACGGATCCGGCCAGGAGAGATCTCTTCGCGAGGATCCGGGAGATCGAGGCGGATGGTTCGCTGTCGGACAAGGAAAAGGCGATGAAAAGGCAACAGCTTTTGAGCGGAAAGGTTGAAAGTGATGAAGATGGAAAAGGAAAGGGAGTTGCAGGCAAGGAGAAAGACGAATCGAACGATATATTGAGCGTGCTTGGTTCGACTTTTAAATGTTCCTATTGCATGGAGCTTCCGGAAAGGCCCGTTACGGTATGAAATCTTGCACGTCGTTTCTAATTATTAATGTTTTATGTATTTGATAGTTAGTGTTTGTGATCTATATGTATAAATGTCGAACTACTTGCGCCTCAATCGAAAGATTCGCACCACGTGGCTATATCCGATATGTTTGTTTTTGTTCTGAAACTAGTTTTTTCGAGTGCGATGCACGCAAAATCAAGATCGAAATTCAGTATTATAAAAACATAATCCGACAAAAAATATTGATAATTGATTGATATAGTACGGTATAAGATATCGAAAATAAATGTCGGATCAGTTTTACTTAACAATCGTCTAGATAACGCATACATAAACATGCTTTAAATGTCGAACTACTTGCGCCCCAATTGAAAGATTCGTATCTGGTGGCTATCTTTGAGATGTTTGTGTTTGTTTTAAAAATAGTTTTTTCGCTCGTGCGGTGCATGAGAATCGCTTTTAAAATAAAAATTCAGTATTATAAAACATTATCCGACATAAAATATCGATAATTGATGTAACCAATATAAGATATCGGAAAAAAATGGCGGATCAATTTTACTTAACAATCATTTAAATAAGACATACATAAACATGCTTTTAATGTCGAACTACTTGCGCCTCGATTGAAAGATTCGTATCATGTGGCTTATCTTTGAGATGTTTGTTTCGTGTTTTAATATTAATTCAGACACCATGTGGGCACAACTTTTGCTTGAAATGCTTCGAGAAGTGGATCAAGCAAGGAAAGCGCACATGTATAAAGTGCCGTGGCGGCATTCCCCACAGAATGGCAGCTCAGCCGCGCATCAACTCCACCCTCGTAGCTGCTATACGTATGGCGAGGTTGTCAAGATCAATAATTTCTGGTGGGCCCCCAGCTGTTTATCGCTTCTTGCATAATCAAGACCGTCCAGATAAGGCGTTTATTTCTGAAAGGGCACAGAAAGCTGGAATGGCAAATGCGTCCAGTGGGAGAGTTTTCGTCACTGCCCCTAGGGACCACTTTGGACCAATCGCAGCTGAGAATGATCCGGAAAGGAATCAGGGAGTTTTGGTTGGAGAGAGTTGGGAAAACCGTATGGAAGTTAGACAGTGGGGTGTGCACTACCCACCTCTATCTGGAATTCAAGGGAAGGCGCATTACGGTTCTGTGTCTGTAGTGATTTCAGGAGGTTACGAGGATGACGAAGACCATGGCGAATGGTTTATCTACACTGGATGGTATTACGATGATCTTTTCGTCTTTTTTTTTTTCAGTTTCTTTTCTCATTATTTCGTTTAATGTTTTGACAGGAAATCTTTATTGTGATCTCATACCGAATTATCGACTTAGAATTCTGTTACGTGTCGGATGAGACTGTGCCATACTTTCTTCTTACAATCTACTTTCTTGTTACAAACATGTGCAACATTTGAGTAGATTGTGTTCATAATTGTCGTGATATGATAAGATCCTCGGCGGACTTAAATCCGAACTCCATTAACTACTAGTTCACGTGGATTGTTTCTCATGTGCTTACTCAGTGTCTTTTAAAATTGTTTTATGAATTTTTGTACTCCGTCGCAAAGCATAGGGACCGTTATTCTTTTATGGGTATTATTAATCCAAAATTAATTAACCTCTTGTTCACATGGATTGTTCGTGCTTACCTCAGTGTTTTTCCACCTGCTTTATAAATTTCTGTGCTCTGCCGTAGAGTAAGAGAACTTCGATGTTTCTACTGCTTCTTTTTCCCCAGTTCACTATAATGTAACTTTCCCACTGCGCATACATTTTTTCGACATTTGCTTCTATTTTTTTTCTCTCTGTTGTTTTAGTTATTATCCGTCAGAGTGACCGTATAAGTATATTTGTATGATGAATATAATAATTGTTTTCTTTCCCTTTTCTGATATTGCAGTGGTGGAAGAGATTTAAGCGGAAATAAACGCACCTCCAAGGAACAGTCATTTGATCAGAAGTTTAAGGATCAAAATCAGGCTTTGCGAGTCAGCTGCTACAAAGGCTACCCAGTTCGTGTTGTCAGGTAAGAATGACTTAATGCGTCTATTTATAATTATTTTTAAATGCATATTGATTTGATTTGAAAATTCCATGTCGGAACTACTTGAATGAAAATCCCGTTATTTTTCCGTCGAACAGATCAGAGAAAGACAGGCGTTCTCCATATGCCCCGGAGAAGGGGTACAGGTACGATGGGGTATACAGAGTCGAGCAGTGTTGGATAAAAGACGGTATACAGGTAATTAGTTACATGCTAATGCAGATTTTCTTTCTTAGGATTCCGTTTTTTGCTACTTATGTTATTGGTGTAATTCTACTCCTCTTTGTATCTCAGGGGTTCAAGGTCTGTAGGTTTTTGTTCGTACGATGTGACAACGACCCTGCACCCTGGACAAGGTTTGCTTACATATACCATTGTCGTAAATTACAAATTCATTTAACATGCTTATTTGCTTCAACAGTTTTCATCGTTCTGTTTCAGCGACGAGCATGGTGATCGTCCAAGACCTTTGCCGGTCGTTCGCGAGCTTAAAAATGCAATTGAATTTTCTGAAAGGACGGAAAGTCCGTCGTGGGATTACGATGTGAGTTGACCTCGTCCCTTTTATATCTTTGCATATTCAGATTGTAAATACGAACTCTTTTAATTTCTTGCTGGTTAGAATTTGATTCAATAGAGGAATACGCTTTTGTTTGCGACTTGAATGTAGAACTCTATTTTATCGATTAGCGGTTCTTTAATTGTTTGCGCTACGATTAGGAGGCCGAATGTTGCTGGATATGGAAAAAGCCGCCACCTGCTAGTGAAGAGGATGTAGTTTATGTTAATCCGGAAGACCGGGCGGAAGCAAAGAAGAGGATACGGAAAGCGCAATCCATTTCAGTGAGAGAGAAACTGCTACAAGGTTTGAATCCATAAACCTCGAACCTACCGTTTTCCGGTTGTGTAATTTACCATTTTGCCCCCATGAATTGAAATAAATCGTTAATTATTTTTAACCTACAGCGTTCTGCTGCCTCATTTGTAAGAAAGTAATGAGTCTGCCCATCACAACACCCTGCGGCCATAACTTTTGCAAGCCATGTCTGGAAAACGCGTTTGACGGTCAAACGTTTCTGAAAGAGAGGGTGTGCTGGAACGGAAGAAAACTTCGTTCGCAGAAGAATGTACTGAAATGCCCTTCTTGCCCAACGGATTTATCAGAGTTCCTCCAAAATCTCCAGGTACATCAGCTTCATATACACACAAGTTCCCATTATTATGCTTGCATGTATATTCGAAAAAAATGGATTCTTGATTTATTTAATATTTTTTTTTCCCTTTTATTTAGGTGAACCATGAACTGATGGAGGTGATAGAGAAGCTACAAGCGGGACTCGCAGAGGAAAAAAAGGAACGTGATGAGGAAGGCAGTTCCAGCAAGGAGAACGACGATTCTCTGCCAGGTGGCGATGCAGCCGACTTATCAAACGAAGAAGCAGAAGCTGAAAATGAAAGTACTTTGAAGAGAAAAAGTTGCTCACCTAGCCTCTCCGACGAGCAGGAGAATATCGAGATTTCTAAGAAGCGAAAAGTCGAGCCAATATGTGAAGAAAATACCAAGTGTTAGGTGCTTATATAAATATAAGTATGCCTGCAACTATTTTACAGATTTTCTTTTTTTTTGGCTCTTTTATTTAGCTTTTAAAGATGACAATGTTCATGTATACATACATACATGTAGAACTACAGTGTTGAATTATATGCACTTCAAAGTTTAAAGACAGTATTTTTGACATTACTTCTGTGTTTTTTTTTTTTTTGCTTATATTTGACAAAAATGGATTTGCTATTTGTGCATTATTATTGCATATATTTCGAAGAGAAGTTAGTAAATTAGAGTAATTTTTCCTTCAAATTTGATTCTCTTTTGTGTTGAAACCCTAGTTCTTGAAATGCACTACAACTTCGATGTTCTCGTTTAATATATGCAATACCATTGAATTCATAACACCAAATTAATTGATGTTTTAAATTTCTAATACGTAACTGATTTTTTTTTTTTATTTCATCATTGTGTGGAGAGAGAAATCAGAAAAGAGCAATTTTTAAATTTTCTACCAAAATTTAAAAACTAATCAGTGAGATTGTATATATATTAATTAATGATGAGATTTACTCAAAAAAAAAAATTAATGATGAGATATTTTTCTTTACTTGAAAAGGAATAAAGGATCTTACAAATGAAGAAATGCTTTAAATTAGTAATTTATGTTGCTAAAATAATTTTATATAAAATAAGAATAGGATTTTTTTTAGAAAAAAAGTATTCATATACTTAGGGGTGGAAATAGAAATGAAAATTTTGAATTCCGCCGATTCCGATCCAAAATTTTCCGATTTTGAAACACTTTTTGTCAATCTGAATTCAGAATTCCGACTTCCGATTTTTCCGAAATTATTTGGATCGGAATTGGAATATATATGAGATTCCGATTTCCGATCCGATTTAAATTACGAAAATAATCCCAAAAGTTCCGATTTCCTAATGTTACACAAAATACCAAAATTATTATGTATTTTATATTTTAGGTAACAAAAAATTGAAACCCGAAGTCCGTCGATTCTGATTCCGAAATTTTCCAATTTAGGAACTAGTTTTTTTCGTTCCAATCTCCGATATTTTTGGAACGCAATTAGAACTAGTTTTTCACTTCAGAAAAAAAAAATATCAATTTTTTTCGGAAATTGCTAATTTCGATCCAATCGGTTCGATTTACAGAGTACATATACTGTTTTAGTCTTTAGAAGAAGGGTACAACTACAACTACAAAGACTAGACAACATTGTCAGCGTTTCTTGTTTCTCAAGCCAAACGAACTGAAAAAAAAAAAACAAAAATAACAACAAATTGTTGTTTTAATAATCATTACCAGTTCTTCTTCACCCTTTCAACAATCTTATATTTATTTTATTGCATATTTCTTCCGAGGTGATAATATCTCACGGTAAGTACCCTTTTCTGTATAACGTTGTTCTTCAGGATTATTGATTCATTCGCTTGTTTCGTACTTTTGTTTTTCCTGCGCTACTAATCACGTTGAACAAATAATTGATTAATTGTTGGATTGCTACTTTAATTTTCATTCCAAGAAATTGGGTATAAAGTCTCGATTTTTATCGACGCAGGCGTTTGTTAAACCCTAATTTGAATTCAATTTCAGTTACTTCAATGCAATTTGGGAATCTTTACTCGTTCCTCTTCTTTTTGTTGTGGGTTATTGGGAGTTGGAACTCAATTCGATTTTTATTTAGTTTTAGCATGATATCAATTGACCTAATTTTTGCCCCAATTTCTGTCGCATGACAATTTATGTCAAATTTAAGTTATTAAACCCTAATTTAAGTTCAATTTTCAGTTGCTATAAAAATATATCTACTGAGAATCTTTATTCATTCCTCTTCTTTTTTAATTGCAGGTTCTTTCGGAGTTGGAAGTTACTATACTACCCTGTTTTTTCAGATCTGCAATCGTATTTTCCGACTCCCGCGATGGTATTGTATCGTTACCCTTGAATTGATTATAGCATTAGTTGATTTGATAATAGAATATACGGCGGCACGAGTAATGAAACCTACATATATAAAGTAACACAAATTAATGTAATCTTGAAATGAAGATTTCGTTTCTTGCTTGTAATTCTTGGCGGTACATTAGCTCATGCCTTCTTATAAGTAGCTTCTTTTTCGAGATCTTCTTCCTCTATTCCTTACGATCGATTGATTATCAATCAAAGCATCGGCAAAGTTTTTCAATGAAAGATTCGAAGATAGAGTTTGAAATAATTGGTTTAATGGAATTTCTTTAAATGAATCGAGTATAAGAACCGAAGTGCATTCCACTAAAATTTCCCGGTTCTTGAACTTTTCGTAGTGGTAGCCTCCTAGCCTTATGAGTACATGCTCGTCTTCCGATACCCGCAAATTTTTAATACCCAAAACGTCCTCCATGTTACTGCGTTATGGATTAATTAAATCTTAAGGTGTTAAAAATGTTGCTGGAAATAATACTAAACTACGTTGAACTCCACGAGAATTTGTGGATAGAATATGTAGAAGAATCGAGATATATGCTTTTTTTTTTTTTTTTTTTAGCGAGATATATTTCGCGTACAGCTTAATTAACCAAGTCGTGTTTCTTGCTAGGCGTCGAGATTTGTCGCCAACTTGATTCTGATGGGATCTACAGTAGTGGGAAGGGCTCTCGTACAAGCATATCGTCAGGCACTTGCGAGTATGTTTTCTTCTCTCTGCTATATTTTAGAATTTATTTTATTTATTTAATTTTTTTTTCGATTAGTATGTAATTCTGCGTCAATATATATTAGGGTAAATTCCACTTCCCCTTGTACTTTGGCTCGGTATCACTTTACTCCCATCTACTTTCGATTACATCGATTTGCCCCCTTGTACTTGAAAAATTGTCTCAATGTGGCCCTCTCAGACATTTGTCCTTAGCACCGAAATTACAAAAACGCCACCTCTCCCAGTTTAAATAATTATTAAAAAAAAAAAATAATAATAATAATTAAAGATTCAAGACAACGAGAAAACATAGTCCACGATTTTTTTTTTAATTTTTTAATAATTATTTAAACTGGGAGGGGTGGCTTTTTTGTAATTTTGAGACTTAGATCAAACGGTCTTAAGGTCAAAGATCTTCAAACTAACGGCGAGGGCCACATTGAGAAAAAATTTCAAGCACAGGGGGCAAATCGATGCAATCGAGTGTAGAAGCGGGTAAAGTTATATCGAGCCAAAGTACAAGGGGGAAAATGAAATTTACCATATATATATATATATATATATATATATATATATATATATCTGAAACAAATATTCGATGGTATGTATCAGATGCAGCAAAGAACGGAGTTGCTGAAGAAGCAGTAAACAACATCAGAAGAGGTAGTAAAATAATGACCGATGTGGAGGCGAGGCAAATCCTAGGTGTCACAGAGCGTTCTTCATGGGAAGAGATTTTGAAGGTCTCTCTCTCTCTCTAGAAAGTTGTTTATCTATCTATTACATTTATATTGTTGCGATAATTGCATTTCGTTGAATTGAGATATCCCTTTTTTTTGTTTTGTTTTGCAGAGGTACGATAACTTGTTCGAAAAGAATGCGAAGAGTGGGAGTTTTTATCTGCAATCGAAGGTTCATAGAGCTAAAGAATGTCTGCAAACATTTCACCAAACGCAAGCATAAAAATCAGTTGTCTAAAGAGAATTAGCGGAGCAAGGATTTTAAGTTCGAGGGGGCCGCATTAAAAAAATCTGGGGGGGGGG